GCTTGGAACGATATCACCGTAATCATCATCGTCAAATTAATGGACTGATAATTTTGACCGGACATGGAATTTTTTCCTTGGTTATTAACTATCATGACTGCCTTTAGATGCCGCTTTCGCTGAGAACTAGTGTCTCCTCCTTCAGCTGTTCCTCCAGCAATAGTAGCTAATACTCCTGCAGCATTATTAGGTAGTTGCGATCTTGCGGAGGTCTCTGGTGCACTGCTTGTTGGTCACGCTGTCTGTCACGTGGTGGTCTCCCTCGTGCCTTCCAGTGTGCTCATATTGCGCATTCTTGTCTTTGTTAGATGTGGGCCAATTATAATCTCCCCTCTCCTAATTCTGTCTCTATCAGGGTTCTTATCATTATCAGGGCTTCTATCACGCTTCCTCTGTGCCCTATAATCTTTGCAGGTGGAAATAAATTCTTGAAGTTTTCCTACTCTGATTAGTACTTCAATGGTGTTTTTTAAGTCAAAACACTTATCAGTAGTATGCCCAGTATCATTATGGAATTCACAAAATTTAGTTTCATCGCGTCACCCATTCTTTTTCAGTGGTGGAGGTTTCGGAACACGAACATAACCAGCTTGAAATACTTCTTTAATGATTCTCATACGCGATGTATTCAAAGGAGTGTAATTTTTAAAATTTTCCCATTTTCTTTTCTCTCAAAAATGCCTTTGAAAATCTTTCTAGAAATCTTTACAAAATTATCAAGTTCTGGTTTCATTCCATGAATATCACGAGAACGCTTACAATCTTCCAAATTGATAAATTTTTCTGATCGTGCTCTAAGGTCCTCAATAGTTCGTGGACGATGTTTCGCCAACGACATGGAAAACGGACCATAATTATCATTATTTTACAATATAAGGATATAGCAAGGGATTTAGAGATATATGGATATAAAAGAGAGAGGGATATATAAGGGAATTTAGAGACATAGGGAAATAGAAGGGACAAACATACGATGGAGCAGGAATGATCTGAGCCAAAACCATGCACCCATCCGGTTTACTGGCCTCATACGAGCTCTCAATCCAAGAATGTTCTTTATGGAATTAGATTGTCATACCTGGGTTGGTACCCTTCGTATATATAGCAAGTCTTATGCCACCTTTGGAAGGCGGCATGCCTTCTTATTGGTTGTTTATGAGCTGCAGACTTATCTGTCTCAGCTGGTGCCTTTCTGGCTATAGTCTATATATTTTTTTGTCTTGTTAGAGTGATGACAAGCTGGAGTCTCTCGTATGTTGGTTTGACACCCTCCCCTGTATGCATCCAAGGGAGATGTCTGCTAAGCGGATTAGAGTCGTAACGTCGTTGAATTAAATATTGAAACTGCGTTTTAAAGTCACAAAATAAATTCACGTATTGATATCTGGTTGTACATGAAAAACAGTGGGGATTTTGAAAACGTATTGCTTGCTGAAATTGTAATTTTTCCAGAAGACTTGCCTGTCTTGCAAAAATATATAAAATCGAATTCACCAGCTTAAAAAAAATTTCTTTGACACTAGGAAACTAGACATCTAGGGCTTTACGTGCATATAAATTATATGTCAATCAGAGGTTTGTAGCCCCAGAAACAGAACACGCAAAGTGCTCGCTAAATCAGTTTCAAAATCTGAATTTAAAACAGACATAAATCGTTTGGACAAATTAACATCAGAATTTCATACGTTTCCAGCTGAAAGTAAAAATCCAAAATACAGCAAATCAAAACATGTTTCCAACAGTAATCCGTCTATCAAATTATTACATCAATTAAAATAATCAGCCAACACCCAACAGAAACAGCAGATAAACAACAGCATTTCCAAAACAGCAGCAGTCAAACAGAATAAATCCAAAATAAGACCTCATCAAATGCTTCTCCGACCTCCTACAATTTTATAAAAATTGAGCCCCAAGAGGGGTGAGAAAAATCCCAGTAGTGTGATAGCAAAACCAGTAATGCAACAATATTAGACTAGATACAGAATTCCAGAACAGTCGCATCAACAATCAAATTCAGAATGGATGCCAAAATATAATCAGAATGCGTATATAACGCCAGAGTACTAATCAGAATGCGTATATAACGCTAGAATAATGTACGTTCATAGCACTACAGTGCACGTACTACTAACTAACACAGTGGAGATTCTATTTGGCCCAACAGAGGGGAATTCCAACTGCGACCTATGCGAACTGAGCCATGGTTCCTTTTCTCTGGTACCTGAGGGATGCTACATAATGCATGCTCAGACAAATGTTTCTTTTCATAAATATTTATAGTTCACAAAACAGCATGAAAATAATGTGTGTATGCCATGATATGTTTCGCACGCACACAAAAAACAGATGAAGTTGTGATGTATATGAGCATGACAAAATCAGAATCAGAGTACCATATAATCTCATGGATTTTCAATACCAATATCTCGAATAACAAACACTTCCAAAACAGAATTTCCATTATGTCAAGTCCAAGGCATATTATAAATAATATTTAACAGAATATAAATCCAAAGGCATATGTGAGCAACAGTCCAAAGTTGCATGCACTAGCTAATAGTCACAATAGGCTTCACCACCAAACACTTACCTGCGTGTCCAAACAATACTCAAACAGCACCAAAATTCAGTCCACACTCTAGGGGTTATGCGCACCTAAGCAAAAATATACAAGTCAGAATTATACGTCACATTTTTTCCTATACGTAGCATACGTTTTCACTCCTTTTGACCCTTAGTTCCCAATCGGTTTACAGGGTTCTTTTTCTAATAAGTTTCTGACTTCAAATAAATATTATCAACTTGTTAAAAGTGAACAATCCAAAGTTTCTCAAGCATAACAATTCGGTTTCAACACTAAAAATAGTCTTATGATTTTTATTCGCATTTTCAACATTACTACCTATAGTGCGCTAAAGAGGGACCTAAAGCATGCTGTCAAATTAATTTAATTCATGTAAAGCTTGATACAACAACATATTCCAACACTAGATACCTCATCCTAGTTTAACAAAACAACAAACTCAACCTTGGAGACTTTATTCCAAGCTCCCAAAAACAATTATTTGTGCTTGTAAGCACAAAGCCTAATCAGTTCAAAATGGCAGAAACAAGGGAATCAAAATGACAAAAGAAACATTTTCCTATCATGCATGTGAGGGCCGAATAGAAAGGCAAGGAGTAGAAGTGACAAAGAGAACAAATATTCCCCTAAAATACACCTACAAGCCGAAACAGTGGGTGAAGGAGGAGCTTAAGGTTCGGCCTTTACCTCTTTGCAGTACACACAACTCGCCACTCAATTTAAGGACAGTAACTTCCCCCTTCAAGAGTTCAAAAAAATATCGAGTTTAGTGCACCTCCTTAAGATGGGTCTTTGGTCGAACAAGGTAAAGAGAAAGATGAGCTTTTGCTGCAATCTCCTTGCTTAGGTACCCTTGGTCGAACTAAGAGGAGAAGAAAAATATACTTAGGATTTTGTTATTCTCCTATGAGCTCACGGTTTGTGGAGAGGTGAATGGGAGAAGATGTAATTTTCTCCTTTGAGTTTCTTGCTACTGATACTTGCGGCCTTGATGAAGGATTAGAGGAAAAGAATGGTGTTGGTTTTATTCTGAATGCCAAGGCCAGAATTCGTTTCGTTTTTCCCCTAATGCGCGCACAAGGGATGGAGTGGGATTGTGTGTGTAACTTTGGACCAATAAAGAAACATGCAAGTAATTTACTTTCTTCCCATTGGTTGCTGGGGCGGCTAGGCTGATTACATTTGGATAGTTTGACAATGATTCAGCTTATTTTCTCTCTATACAAAGCACATGAAAAGAACCAAGGATGGGGAAGGTTGCCAAGTGTTACTATTTGACCTATAAGGGAACATGCATGCTGATTTGTTTGGATAAACTAATGGATAAGGTGAGTCATGGGTCAAGTGTAGAATGTTTAGGGCTGAATGAGGTTCTCAACTTTTAGGTTTTGGGCCGTGGCCCCCCTTAAGGTCATTGGGCCAAAGCTTCCTCCTTCAATGAATCATATTTTCATGTAATTTTCTAAGTATTATCTAGGGTTCTATTATGCGATGTAATTTAAAAATTAAACTTATCCTACACCTACATGTAGTTTGATTTCATGACATGACTCCACACTCCCAATTGCAATTTAAATACTTTCCTAACAATTATTATTTCATGTATCCACTAGGTAGTAACTAAGGTTTCTAAATGTAATTAAAATTATTAAAATTCATCCTACCGTAGTTATATGTATGTAATTCGAATTCAAGACATGCATTCACAATACTAATGGCAATTTTTTATATAAGTTCCTAATTTTTACGGGATGTTACAGTTGGTCTGAAAGCGCAATGGGTCTTAGCTTGTTATATGATCCTTCCTTAGCCTTCAAGTCATATTAGACGATCCGCATAATGAAACCATTGCACTTCATAGTTCTTCTGCGCAATGCTTGTATCGTGTGTTATGGGGCCTATATATTGTTTGGTCCCTTTCTGAGCTTTAACCTTTGTGGGCCTATGTATTTATCCAGATCAAATCCAAAAGTAACTTGTTGAAAGTAAAATAGTTTAGAAGTAGAAGATGTTAGTCTTTGGACATGTTTGATTATATTTTTCTTTTTTCGTTCTTAAAAGTATTTGGTAGAGTAATAAATGAAATGAATGTTTTTTGTGATTTTCTTTTTATTTTAAAAGTTAAAAATTAAAATAACTGGAATATATTTTTTAAATTTGATTTTAAAAGTCAAAAAATAAATAATTTTTAAAAATATTTTACAAAATAAATATTATCAAATTTTTTTAATTTTTAATTTTTAAAAATTAAAAAATTATTTTTGAAAACATAATACAACCAAACCCTTTGTTTTTTGTTTTTGTTTTTTTTTCAAATTTTTATTTTATGTACGGTAGATAAAAAGATTTTTGTTATGGGGTTTAAAGTGGTCACACTTCCCCTTCCATCAATTTTCACCAATACAGCAATCATTTCCCGCCCTGGTGGTCCTTAACACTCTGTCTCTCTGTTCTAGGGTTTAGGGTTTCATTACAGCGGTGGCACAAATGGTCTCTCCGAAGCAGCTCCTTGGCACCATCGAGTCAGCGCTTCTCGGACCTTCACCTCCAACAGCTGCGCAACGAGTCGAACTCTTGCACGCTATTCGCACTTCTCTCCGCTCCTTCCAATCCCTTCTATCATATCCCGTACGCCATTCACTTTCATTGTTGTTATTTTTGCTCTAAGTTTCTTGAGAAGCTCATATCAAAGCTCTTTTTACATTTTTTTTTTCTTTTCATTAGCCCCCAAAGCCCTCTGATCGGAGTCAAGTCCAGTCAAAGTCAGTTAGGCTTCCAGATTCTCCGCCTATCTCTCTAGATGACCAGGATGTGCAGATTGTGAGTCCGCATTGTTTATTTTTCTACACTTTTTGCATTTAACGTGGTTTGTATGCACTAGTCTAATTTTGTATGTATATATATCAACATGTTAGAACTATTGTTCTATATTAGTTCTTATTTTGTTATAAAAAGATAGAATAAAATGTAAAGAATCTACTAAGCTGTATTCTGTTATATTGTGGGACTGCCTGTGATACAAAAAAAAAAAAAAACAGAGCTTGCCCCAAGTAAATCAACTTTTCAAATCAAAAGAGTAAAAGTCTTCAAATATCACAGAAAATGCCGAAACACGTTGTTCTATGAACTTTTTTTTTGCTACTGAGAACATTGTTTATATTGGAGATATCTGTGCTCTTTGTGGTGTGGAGTTTAATGCAGTTCCATTTCCCCCTCCTTTTTCTAATATCCCTTTTATGAAGCATAGGCACTCAAATTGAGTGATGATCTCCATCTCAATGAAGTAGATTGCGTTCGCTTGCTTGTATCAGCTAATCAAGAGGTAGATTTCTATATTCCTTCATACACATAAACACACTCAGACAGACTAGCGGATGTAATCATAAACTTTCATATTTAATTTTGATGCTTGATTGCATGATAGTTTATATGGGTTTATTAATCACCGACCCCCAACTAGTTTGGGATAAACTTTTTATTGAAATTGATGTTGATTTGATAGCATAATTATTTGAACTTTCTTAATTTTAAATTGGATGAAAAATGAATTAAAAAATTGAGTTAGAAACTGTAAGTTGTAAAGAAAGTAGTTTTAAGAAGATTTTCTTAAAAGTAATATGTGAGTGGAATGTCATAGGTAGTTTAGTTTGCAGAAAGTGGGGTTAGTTTTGGTTGTGGTAACTTAATGTTTTTTATTTTTATTTTATTTTTCCAATTTTTATTTGAATGAGAGACCATGAAGAGTGTTGTCAATATACATACACATATCTATTTATATTTATTTATTCAATCATTTATTTTTGCTTTATCTGTAGTGGGGCTTAATGGGAAGGGAACCATTGGAAATTCTACGGCTTTCAGCGGGACTATGGTATACAGAGAGAAGAGATCTGATAACATCCTTCCATTTGCTGTTAAGGGTATTTTTTTGCTATCCAGGCCATCATTCAATTTCATTTGGTCATTAATTTGGCTCTTTTGTTTTTGGTTTACTTTTAATAGCTTTGTGTTGTTTCCTTTACAGGCTGTGGTGCTTGATCAGGGAATTGAAGATGATATATTGGTTGAGATTCAGAAATATCTGGAAGATCTTATCAACTTTGGACTTAGACAGCGGTTGATTTCTCTTATCAAGGTTTGTATTGTGAGAAGTTATTATATTGCTCTGTCTTCTAGATTAAATTTTGATTTAGGACAAAGTCTCTTAAAAGAAAGTTAGTCAAAATTGAGATCCCACCTAGATGATCGGAAGGGGAAAGAAATATCGTAAATTGTGAGATTGACATGGATTAGAGATCTTATCTAGAATACAAAATTATGTTAAAACGCGTGCACACATGCATCCACATTCAAATGTGTGTGTGTATGTGGAGACCGATAGGGTGGAAGGAAGGAAAGAAAGGTTGTTGATAAAAAGGGTGATATTGGTAGATGTGATATAATGTCGGACGTCAGGAGAGCAGCAATGATACCCCTTTTGAAGATTAGAATAACCAAAAAAGACCTTGAAGACTTTGGAGATGAGCTTGTCTTTGCCTCCAGTAAGCTTTTGAACAAAGCATGTACAACCAAAAACATGAGGAAGCACATGATATATAGGATCATTAGGAAACAATATATGGTTAGTAACCTCATTGTTTAACATAATGGAAGGCATACAATTTATGAAAAACAGAATGTAAGGATGACATCCCCTAAAAATGAAGAGGAAATTTCATTTGTAGTTGAGTGCGGGCAGTTTCAATCAGATAGCAGTTTTTGCATTCAGTTACGCCATTTTGTTGCGGAGTACGAGGACAATTGATTTGATGCAAGATACCTTGTTGAGTCAAGAATTCTTGTAGGTGGGAGGAAAACCTCTCCTACATCTTGCTCCTCCCTTGAATTCATGTCCCTCCTCCCCTTTAACCAACTCTACACTCATTTCCCCACCCATAACTTGCTCTACTTTCGCAGCTTGCCACCTGTCTGTCCATTCCTATAACAAACTCTCCTTTCCCACCAACATCTTTTTTGTTAACAATATTACTCCTTGCTGCATCCTTATTGGGCTGACTTCCTTGGACCGGCCTTCTTACCTTCTTTCTTTGGTATATCATTTTGATCGGTCCATCACTTTCAAATGCCAAACTTGTATGGGTTGATAAATTTGGAGGAGGCAAACTAGATCTGAGTGTCATTGGCCACAAACGTTGCTGGAAAAAATTTCCGATGGCCGGAGAATTCGACGACTGTGGTAGATGATGGCCAAAAGAATGCATAGTATGGTGGGAGGTTGCCAGATAGATGTGTGGCTGGGAAAAGGCTTGTCGGTTTCGAGGCATGACAAGGAAGACAATGCGAAAGCATAAACTCCCTGATCGAGAGCTCTGATACCAACTTAGAAACCTGAGAATTGAGTGCAAACTTTCGTGTGTCTAATCTGATCTCATGCACTCTATATATATTGATTTGAAAATCGATTACAGTTGTCTTTTTAAATTGGCTAGTTAAATTGACAAGCTCCATATTGCCTGGCAAATAACCTAAAGATGTCTTTTGGATTGTATAACTAATTGAGTCAATTTCAATGATCCTGATTGTTCATAATTCTTGACATTGTCTTACTATTAGTAAATAATATCACTGCTGATTTTTTTTTTTTTTTTTGTTTCTTTTGGCCATTTATGCATAATTACCCATGAGGCACATATTCTTTGCTTGCTTTGCCCTGGTACAATATGTACGTAACTTATATAAATATCTCTCTGAGCATCATTATTAAAACATTATATGATATTAAGGCATAGCATTGCCATGTTATCACTGCCATTGGAATATGTCATTGTTCATTTTTTGACCTTTACTAGAATATCTATTTAATGTTTTCTTTCGAATGTATATGTAATATTTGATTAGAATTTCTCCCTTTCTTTGGACGATGTATGATATAGTGGAAGGACTTTTCTATATTTTAACTTGAACCTAAGTTCACTTTTTCCTGAAGAATTTGCTTTCTGGATGTAGGAACTCAATAGAGAAGAACCTTTTGGTTGTGGTGGTCCTCAATGTGAGCGCTATGTAGTTGATTCAAGAGGTTCACTTGTGGAGCGACAGGCGGTGGTCTCTAGAGAAAGACATATTCTAGGACATTGCCTTGTCCTTTCGGTTTTGGTTGTTTGGGCAAGTATGTTTCGTAGCCTTTCATATTTTGTTTTATGATAGTTAATGTGTTTGCTGAAGTACTGCGTGGTATACTATTGTATTCTATGACAATTTATGTTTTCTCAGCACTTTGGTTGATATCAGGAGTGAAAGTGCTATGACAATCTCTATTTTCAGGTCCAAAGGATGTTAAAGATATTTTGTCTCTTTTAAAAGATAGTGCTTCTGAAGTTAGTGAGAGCAATAACACCTTTAAACTTCAGGTACGCTTTTATATTCTCTTGCAGAGCTAAATTTAGTATTTTTTGTTTTATTTTGTGGTGAAGCATGTATTTCATAAGCATTGGAACAATCCAACACATTTTATGTGTGTAAAAAGTCATGGAAGCTATCATAGCTCTAGAAAATACTGTATAATATTAAGGTTGTACCTTGATAAAGTTTAGAGTATCCTAAAGTCTCTCTTATGATATGTTTCCTGATTTCTTCATATTTTATGATTTTTTTTTGACTTTTGGAATCCTCCTCTATTTAGTAAAATCAAGGATTCGTGCTTTGTCTTTTGTATTCACTTTTTTATCATATCCATCACTTCTTAACACATAAATATACTATGTCATTCATTCTTCTCCATGTTTCTTAGTTTATGCCTAAATCCTTATTGTTTCAACATGGTATCAAAGTGATGCCATCATTGGTGACCTGTCCTGTCACTATTTCGTTGTTGATTTTTGTAAAACTGAAATTCTATTTTAAAAATGTTATTCTATTTTTTTCTATCTCTTCTACTAAATCCTAAACACACTGCCTACTTCGTGGCCATAAATATTTCCAAACTTCTCCGATCACATTCATTTCTTCTCGTTTTCCTTGTTTTACCTTCAAGTGCTATCTGCATAGTTAACTCAATTCCAATGCCACCATAGCATTGAGGGGGAAAATTTTGGAATGCATCCTAGCCCTGTCAATTATAATCCCTTATTAGAATTTGATTTCAACTAGTTATTTGCAAGAAGGGAACCCTTATTCTTTGACGCATATGAATTTTTTAATCCCACACTCAAATTTTTTCTTTAATATAAATTATTACCTAAAATATAGACAAGAGATGAACCACCTGCAACCTAGTATGCAAAATCTCCCTTCGAAACAAACACTCTTGGTGACGTTCTAGCGTTTTGGAGGGGAGGAGTTCGAATGATTTATAATTAGATTAGAGGGTAAAATTTGTAAATACAAATTTAGAATAAACGCATAATTAGAAAGTAAATATAAGGACTATGAAAAAGCTGTCGTACATCTTAAAAAATTTCGCTTTTGGGAGCTTTTAGTTTTTTTTTATTCAATATAAAGAAGCTTTTTTTTTTTTTTTTATGATAATAGCTTTTATAAAATTGTGTTTTGCTAAGCTTCTCCTTTCAAGGAGAAGAGAAGCTAAAAACAAAAGACTTGCCACACTGGTTCTTTGTCTCATATTTATATCACTTTTTGTTGATAACTCGGTATCACTTTAGTTTATCTCATTAATAAACTTCCTACATCACTTCCTTGGAACATTTGGGTGTGCATGTTTTCCCTCCTTCGACCTTGTAACAAACACAAACTCGATTTTAGATCCAAAGAATGTAGTTTTTTGGAATACTCACCTAGTCGCAAAGGCTATAAGTGCCTCAGCCCTGATGGGAGAATGTGTCCAAGGATGACATTGTCAATGAGTATCAATATCCTTTTTCATCCCTTTTTGCATCAAAATCTTTTCACATTCTTGAAAATTCCTTTACCTTCCCGAGCACTGTTACTCTTTCCCTTGTCTAAAGCTCACCTTTTAATTCTTCCAATTAGCCTTGGTCATATTCCCACTTCTATTCGAACTTTTAATTCACCTTCAACATCTAATTAGGATATTTCATCATCTCAAAATTTATCAAGCCACTTACTCCCTTTATTCCATTCATCACCAACTCAAGTTTCAAGGCCATCTAACTATTTTCGGCATTCTCACACTTCCTCTAGGACACCCAGTCAGTCCTCAAAGTCATCACCTATCCTTTCATGTGGTACTTTCTCAAGTCCTATTGCTTCAAGCAAGTCTAGATCCACTTCAACTGTTGATACATCAAATCCGTCAGTCCACTCATCCTCCAATCAGTCCTTAAGCTCTTCACCAATAACACGTTCGTATCTCATCTAGTGCAAGTATTCCAATTCCTCTTTGGTTCATCACTTCATCCTGTTCTTAGAATTCCACAAACCAACACAATCAATCTTGTTCATGTAATCACTCACCAAACATATCTTACTCTTGACTCTTTGTCCTCGCCAACTTCACCAACTTCTTTTCGGTCAGAATACATATATTCAACATCACTTGGTCCATCTACTCCTACATATAGCATCATGACCATGTCAAAGGGACCCACCCCTTCTATTTTCACTGCTCCTGAGAAACCAATAAGTGTTAAACAAGCTCTGGCTGAACCCAACTGGTTTCAGGCTATGTAGGAAGACTACAATGCTCTTACAAGAACTACAAGTCCCAAGCAAAGTCCTAGTTATCTATTTTGACTATCAAAACACAGGTGCAATGGCTCACAACCCTGTATTACATTCAAGAACCAAACTTAGGGAGCTTGGTGTATTTTTTTAAGGAAAATTGTCCTAGCCATATCAATAATTGTTCAGCACATCCTTGCTCAAATGCAAGTGACTGATACTGTTAGTAAACCACTTTTTGCTCTACGATTTGCTGAGCTCAGAGACAAACTCAAGTCTTGATTCTTGCTCATTTGATCCAACACCTTTGAGTTTGTGGGGGTTGTATTAGAGTAGCAGATTTACTTTGTTTACTTGTTTATTATATTATCTGGTTTTAGTAGATTTAGTGTAGCTGTTAATCTATTTAGTACACTTTAATTAGCTTATTCAGTTACACTTCATGTAACTGAATTTAGGCAGTTAGGCATACTAGCTTGGACTACAAGCTTCCATTGTATTTCTTATAAATACCCTTTGTTTATATCAGATAATATCAATAATAGAATCTGCATTAAGAAATAATATCTCTCTCATTTCTCTCTCTTTCTTCTCCTTTCTTTCATTTTTTTTTCTTTCTCTTATTATTCTATCTTCTCCATTTTTCTCAATCTATGCCTACATTCGTGTAATTTCAACTGAAGCACTGCACTTTATTCATCTTCGTCTTTTTTGGTTTGTGCATAAGGTGAGGTGCACTATGTGGCATAATGGACCCCATAACTTGGTCAATTCAAGCAAACATTTTCCTTAGAAGGAAGATACAAAAGAAGGCATGCTTTTGCAGTTCTGCCTTTTCTGAGTCGTCTTTTACTTAAAAAATGATAAATTCATTCTCTGACTATCATCTTCGTTCTCTAAATCTATTAAATGAAGCCAATGATGTCTAAATGAAGAACTTTTGTTTGCTACTTTGCTTTTGTATATACAAAAGAAACTTCGTAAATCACTCCACTCCCCATTAAACCCCGACTAATGAGGGTAGGGGTGAGGGTAATCCTTGTACGAAACCTTACCTTTGCGTATTTGTAAGAGGCTATTTCTCGGATTCAAATTTGTGACCTTTCAGTCACAAAAGAGCAATTTTACCACTGCTGCAGGCTCGCCCTCTTTTAAATTGTTTTAAAATGGGAAAAAAAGAAGAAAGGATATCTGCAAAGGGATGAACCTAAGCAACTTGAAGGCATATGAATGTAAGAATATGAGATAAAGCGAGCGAGCAGATCCCTTGGCTGGGTACATAAATGTTTTATGTAATAAGATAAAAGAGTAAAGTATGTATTGATGCTATTTCTGGGAATCCAGATTACAATATGGTAAGAAAATGCAGAGTAGAAAGAAAAAATGCAACTGACACTTTGGGAAGTCAGTACCTCTTCCAATACACCAGAGGTGTCCCAATTCCACTAACACAGTGCCTGCCTCTCATGCTACCTTTTTCTCCTAATATAGCAACAACTCCTAACAGATTTTCCCTCCAACTTCCTCTCCCTTACTTCCCATGTTTGTCCACGTCAACCACTATGTTGGTTGTACTCCCCTGCTTTTTTTTTTTTATTCTGTTGTAGATCCTGGTTACTATGGGCCTATCATATACCCTTGGTTACATGTCTAATTCATTGTTCTAATATTTTATATTTCCAAGCTCAAAAGTACAAAGATTAGCATGGTGAAAAGAATAACTTCCTTGTAATATATCATATTTTTTTGTTGATTTTTTTTTATTTTGTTTTGTTTTTCGTTTTTCATTTTTCATTTTTTTGATAAAAAAAGATATAAAATTAATTTGTGAAAGAGGTTAAACATGAATAGTTTTTGAGGTGTATGTGATACCCTATGATCATCATGCTGCACTTGCTTTTGTGACACAAGCTTCTTCTGCTCTGAATATTTGTGTTGCTTGCTCACAATTTTCACATTTTATGTCTGTGCAGATTACCTTTAGTCTTCTCTTTTCCCTTGTGATTACGTTCGTTTCGGAAGGTTTGAGTACAGTGCCTGATAAAACATCCGTCCTTTCTTCTAATAATTCCTTCAGACATGAATTTCATGAACTTGTAAGATGAAAGATAATTACTGTTTTGACTTGTGTTCTAATTGTTTATCAAATATTTGGTGTCAATTTTGGGTGTTGTTGACTTTCTTTCTTGGTAAAGGTAATGGCTACCGGAAATGATCCAGTTGTTGAGGGCTTCATTGGTGGCATAAGGCTTGCTTGGGTGGTACATTTGATGTTAATACAGGACCGTGTTTCAGCAAGGGAGACTGTTTCAAGTGGTTCATCAAATGAAATGGGTTATCTTAGTCAATGCTTGGAAGTCGTTTTCTCAAATAATGTTTTTCAGTTTTTACTGGATAAAGTTCTTCATACTGCTGCCTACCAGGTTCATTTGCATTGCTACATTTTTTTTTTTTTTTTGATAAAATAAGAAATTCATTGAGACAAATAGAAGAATGTTACGAGGACATTGGAGGATAAGGGATCCTCCACGAGGTAGAAAAGGAAAATAAAACAAAATAAAAAGTGAAAACATTAATGGAGTAAAGCTGTCCAGTCCCTCTGCACATCTGTTATTAAACCCCCCTTGAAAAGTCAACATGCTTTAACTTCTGAAAGTCTTGCACTTTAATTAGTTAAATAGAGCATAAAAGGCATTTTCTCGACTATGGTATATTAAACAAATTATACATAATTTAGAAAAAAATGTTTTGGTACTTCTGTCTCATTTAGTCTTGTTAGCACCTCATACATTGTAGTCAGTTACATTGTCCAACTTAGATGTTAATATAGTATCTCATGTTCTGGTCCTTGTGATGGTGAAGAATCAAATCCCACTTTGAAAGGTTGTCCTGGACGGGATTGTTTTCATGAATTCATCGTTGTTTTTGCTTCTATGAATCAAAAATTTAAGATTCTCAAGTACTGTAATTGAAATAATTTTATGTATCTAATCTAGATTTGCTTTTGCCATGTCACTTTTAGTAGAACTATTTTAATTATTTAATTACTGTAGCTTTTCATGATTATACTTCATTGGCACACCTTTGAGACAGCTGCTTGTCTTTCAGAATGAAGACGAAGATATGATCTATATGTACAATGCTTATCTGCACAAGCTGATTACATGCTTCTTGTCTAACCCTCTGGCAAGAGACAAGGTCAGTTGATTATTCCCACACCTACATATAGAACAAGTTGATTTAGTGTATTAAATGCACAACTCCGGCTAGGATTTGGTTTTGATTGCCAAACTACGCGATTATTGTTATTTGTTGTCTTTAGCATCTTACATCTATTATGATGAGGACAAAATACCACATTTAGTATTATTCTTTTATATTTCTTCTTATTCAGTTATCCATTGTGTAATTGATTCATATGTATTGCATTTGTAACATCCGACAACTTGCAAGGATCAATGAAGAATTGCTCCAAGTCAAACACGCTTAACTATGGAGTTCTTCCGCTTCGGGCTACCGAAAAGTAGATGCATCTTGTTAGTATATGTAGTACATATTATATCTTTTCAAGCCATCCTCAACTATATTGTCCCATTCCTAGACAATCTATGAATTCCTCTTTTTTTGGTGTTGATTCTATTCATTCATGTACCCCTCCCACTGGAAGCCTGCCAGGAGCCGCTCCTTGTCCGTGCCTCTCTTGTGCACCGACGATCGCTCCCCGCCCTCGTTAGCACCCAAGATGTTACATGATAATGGTAGTTAGCAGGATTTGAACACATTACATATGAGAGGATAATGTTGATGACATTTCAAGCTATGTTTAGGATTTAAGAAATGTATGAGATATATTTAGATTTACATTTTAATTATTAAATATTTACATTGAATATATTTTGGAATAAGATTATGATATAGTTAGCCTTGCACTTGTCCCTATTACAGGTGCGGCGGTAACATTTCCCCAAATTAGTTTTAGATTAGCTTCCGCAGTATTTATACGATCCAAATAAAATAATTAAATGTATTTTGGCATATATATTATGGAAAAACATTTTCTCATGTTGCATGAGAATTGAATTCTCATGTTGTGATCTTTCGATTTGCGTGCAAAGTTTTTTTTTTTAATAAATGTGGGGGCAAAGCTTTTTTTTTTCTTTTTTTAATAAATGTGTGGCCCACCACTACTTGAGTCACAAAATGAGAATTCAATTCTCATGCAACATGAGAAAATCAAACCCCATATATTATTACAAAAATATTTATAAAAATTGTTAGAAATTTGGGGGTGTTACAACATCACATGTCTCTAACATAGTAGAGAGCCGGACGAGAGGCAACCCTAATTCTAATACGTACTTTCCAAGTGGTTCCATTGTGCACCGATGACAAATTTTTTCCGAAAATTGTTGTCCATCTGGTTTTCGATGTCTCTTGTCATGAACTCCCTTCGCCAATGTTTCCCAACTGTCGGCCATCGTCCCAAATCGTCTTCCTTTTCGCTGTCGATTGTCACGCAGAGAGACTCACCCACATTTCTAATTGCCTTCTCATGACGAAGCTATCTATCCAGGATCCACCCATAGACCTAGGCCACACGTCCATATGCATGATAGCATGTTGTGACTGTGTTAGCCCTTGTAGCGGCACATGGAGGCTTGTGCAATGTATGTTCAATGCACAGTTTGGACAGAGGCTCGCCCTCTCTTGTTGGTTCCAAATCTATTTTGATGCGTTAGTTTCAACTTCATTGCCAACTGTATAAAAACTATTTTCTTCTTTGCACTATTTTTCACATGCTCTTATTCACACGTGATTCTGGTGACCTATTGCCAAATTTGGTCTTTGTCCCTAATGGGGTTGTCTTGATGCTTGCGACTTTCGGTTCCATTGCTTTGACTGGTCTCACTCTGATGGGCCTATAATAAATAATCCAAGCCCATTAGTATTTTAGAATTAGTATATATAGAAGTTTAGGGTGATGTTTCTGGATTCATGTATTCAATTCTGGTTTAGTGAAGAATTGAGAGACCTCTAGGGAACTCTTGAGCCTAGGTATTTGGTTTGAGGGGGAGTTGAGGCGTTCTCTGGGTTTATTTTCTGCAATTTATCCTTGTAAGGAGCTTGTCTCCATTTATATTTCTGCAATTTCTTATGAATAATATTAGGTTCCATCAATTTGGTATCAGAGCACTTCCGATCTAGGGGTGTTCTTGATCCAGATCTGAAAAAATAAAAATAAAAATGAAGTTCAGATTTACTGCTGTTCCAAAATTCGTTGGAGAAGGAGATGATGCTTGGGGATGGCTGATCGATTTGGAACAATATTTTCAGATTGAAGGAATCAATGAAGATAAAAAATATAGGGAAGCGGTGAGAGGGCTAAGAGGGAGTGCGTTCTACTGGTATCAAGGTTGGAAGTGGTTGAATCTTACCGCAAACTTGAAGAAGTTTGAGAAGCCGTTCACAGAGAAATATTTACCTGAGATTTTATTGGTAGATGATGGAGAATCAGATCCAACAATTTATGGTGATAAAGTAGCAAAGGAACAAATCAAAGAAGGCAAAGAGAAAGAGGTAGTAACGGTTGCTAAAAAAATAGAGATCGAAGCAAAAGTCGAACGTGAAGGAGCAGATCTAAGCTCAGAAAAAGAAGCCAAAGATGCCAGATCAGAAAAAACTGAAGAAGAAGATGAAATCAACAAAGAAGAAGAAGAAATCAGCATCGAAGTAGAAGATGCAACAAGTGCAGAAAAAGAAGAGGAAATGCAAAACAAAGAAGAAGAGAAAGAAGTTGGACAAAGGGCGATCGTGAGAGCATAATTGTGTCTTCATCCCATGGAAATGTCGTCTTCTGCGCAAAGACGTGCGAGCATTGGGAACGACGATGAAGAAAGGGAGAGAGTGAGAGAGGGGTTGGGAACAACGATGGGGCTTCTGGGCATCGGGAGTGGGATGATTGGTGGGCTGAATACACACTCAGCTTTGCATAACAAGGCTTCCACTTGTGAGGAGAGGCCCAACATTAAAAATAAAGATGAGCATAATGGGCCAGATGGAACAGGCACATGCTCCTCGGCCCAAAACAGAGGAAATAATCGAAATATGGGCCTATTCAACAATACGGGTCACTCAAACAATTTGGGTCACTCTAATTCTGATGGAATTGGAACAGAAGCCAGCGCATTAAACGAACCAAACGCTAGTAGGGGAGGAGGCAATCCTAACTCTAGTAATGGCAGTCGTGGGGCAAGATTCAGGCGACTCTCACCGGAGGAGCTAAATGACAAACGCGGAGATGTATGCTTCAAGAGCAATGCTCATTTGTCACCAGATCAAATCTGCCAAAACCAGCACCTCCACATTATTTGGGTGTGTATTGTCAAACTTGTGCTTGAAAGGGAGGAGCAATTTTTCAAAAGTGAAAGCATGGAAGATAGCGAGACTCTTGTGGGTCTCAGTTCCAGCAATTTGTTGAAGTTGAGGGGTGAGTTTCATGGAAAGAAAATAGAATTGAAGCTTCCAATGTGGTCTTGGTGCTTCAAGCAGTGGGATCCTGGTGGATATTTTCTCACATCACCTACTCTCCTTCTCACCTTGAGGACAAGGTGAATTTTGAAGGGGGAGTATTGATGAGCCTATAATAAATAATCCAAGCCCATTAGTATTTTAGAATAAGTATATATAGAAGTTTAGGGTGATGTTTCTGGATTCATGTATTCAATTCTGGTTTAGTGAGGAATTGAGAGACCTCTAGGGAACTCTTGAGCCTAGGTATTTGGTTTGAGGGGGAGTTGAGGCGTTCTCTGGGTTTATTTTCTGCAATTTATCCTTGTAAGGAGCTTGTCTCCATTTATATTTCTGCAATTTCTTATGAATAATATTAGGTTCCATCACACTCAAACTCCATTTCTCGGTCATTGGATTCCTTGGCCCCTTTGTGTTTGGTTCTACATGTTTTGTCCATAAAGTCAATCCTGGTCTTGATAAGTTTGCTGCTTAATCTTATGTGTCTTTCTTGGTTAAACTCTAGTACCCCTAAATTTTTAACAATTTTAAAAACATTCTAATAATAACAGAATTTCCAAAAATTACATTTAATTATTTATTAAGACTGCATAAGTATTGCAAAAGCTAAACTAAAGTCAATTTAGAGGAATATTATCGCTGCACCTGTAACAAGGACAGGTGTGCAAGGCTAAATTTGTTAGACTCTTATACTGAAAATATATTCAATGCAAATATTAAAGCTTCAAAACGTAAAACCAGAGTCTAATGTTTAACTTAAAATGTCTTATGCAATTATTAAATCCAAAGCATAAAATTTATAATGTTTAGGCCTAACTTGAAATGTTCGGGACGTTATCCTCATTGCCCACGGTTAGCCCTAACTTTCGAAACCTGCTTCACTGATTGTCTACTCCCCCGAAGGATCATTGCAGGACAAATACAAACACAAACAGTCAGCAAAAGCTGGTAATCGCAATCCAAAACACAATAAAGATAGTTATATCTCAATTAATCATCACAGTCAACTCAAGCATTAGTCATGATATGTCACTTCCATTTTTAATTTTATTCATTTTCATTACATATGGAGAGAATCATGGTATACTCGAAAAACCCTATTGCTAGCCTACCCACGTGCCCGGGAAACCCTGTTGTCAGCCACATATAATCAAAATTTGGCCATCATCAAAATATCAATTTCTAGTGTGCACATCTCTGTCTCAAAGTTGCTACTTGTATCCCAGGAAATCGTGATTCTAGCCACCACTTTGGGAAGAACAAATAAATGTCATTTTCACATCATATAACATCTTAGGCATAAAACTAGAAGGTTATGTTCATCACTTTCAGGAGGTCAAAAGCCATCTTCCCATTATTATCGTATCACAGACAAATTAGGGAAATCCAATCTTGTCACAAATCACATACTTGAAAATTTTCTCATTTCATAATTTCCACATCAATTATCCAATATTTCAAAGGTAAGATTACATCACACATAATCAATTGTCCGACATCTATCAAAGGTAAGATTCATATCACAACCAATCATCAAATATCTATTAGAGGTAAGATTCATAACACAAACAATTAACATTTCAACCTATTATTATTAAGGAATTAAGATTATATTGTAAAGAACCAATTCAACGCAAAAGCTTAAGCTATTAGGTGAAGTTACATTTAAT